CTGGATGGTTTCTTCCCTCAAGGCACAGAATTTTCAAAAAAAATAAATCATCCATTATGCTTATTAAACTTTGTCTTAGTATAGATTGTATAATATTATAGATTAAAAAAAAAAAATTACTATTATTATTTCATATTGTTCAGATGTTATTTAAAGTAAAATAAGTAGGTATGAATACAAAATAATTCATAATGACTTAAGTTAAATGACTTAAAGTACAGTCATTTGATGATGGGTTTTTGGCTCAGTCTAATTTTGATTGTCAACTAGGAGTTGGTGAAAAATGTCAATTTTTTTTTTATAATTTTAAAGAAATATAATGAGTAGATACTATGATATTATAATTTTCACAATAATAACTAATATTAATAGTTGTTTAGGTGGAATATATTATAGATACGTAGGTAAGTGTAAAATGGTTTGTGTGTTTGTTGTGTGATTAGGATCATATTATATTATTTTTTTTAAGCATAAGCGATTGTTTGTTCTTCTTGAAAGAAAATAATCAGATATTATATAAGTTCACATTTACAAAAATGGACAATAACAAAAATATTTTAATCCTCTATACTTGTTTCTAAGATCACTTTATTCCAATCCAATTCTAGTATATATTAACTTATAGTACAATTTCTAAAACAAACCAATCACTTAAATGTATCCATGATTTCTAAAAATTCTCCAATAGTATTTAATATTTTTTATTTTTTCAGCCATATTTTGTGGTTGGGTTTAGTATTTATTTGGTAACTTTTAGTAATTCAATTTGTTTAACTTTTTGTAGAAAACATAGTAACTTCTAGTTAATACTTAGTAGTAATTACTAGGTGTATTTAGCTCTCCATATTATTTTGCAAGATAAAAACATAAGTAGAATTTTGCTTGTTAACGGTTTTTCAGTTATATTGAATGGTAAACCTTTTGCCTCAATTATTATGGAAAAAAGTTAAATTCAAAAAATTTGTTTGAACTTTTTTAATAATTTATGATTACCTACATTAATGCATATTTATTTATTTCAGAAATTATCCAACAGAAATGCACAGATTGCATACATTCATCCTTAGAGATGTTGTGGCCATAAGGGAGTCTGTACGATTAGAGGGTCCGCCCATGCCTTTCCCCGAGAACGCTGATATGATTGTAACAAGTTCGATATTGGAATCACTAGCAAATTATGAAATAAGGGATTTAAATTTTCTGAATACCATAAGGCCTTTTCTGAACACACATGCAGTACATTTTTGCAACGAACTATACAATTTTGCTAGTAGTCCTTACGAAATTTTGGAATATGATTCCAATGTGCAACATACACATCCTCCGCGTGAATTGACTGTAAAATAAACAAAATATTACAAATTGTGAGTTAATGTGAGTTAATATTAATATAAATGTTTGTATATTTGTAGGCTCCATTTTATCAAGAACAATCACCACCAATCATTGGTGAAATCAATGTAATGCATTCAGTTAATGAAGAACCCCAAAGTATAAATATAATAGAAGATAGTTCTAGAACCGATTACACTGATGTTGAAATTCCAAGTCACTCCTTGCGTTCTACAGATCCACTTAATTCGTCCTCTATTGACCAGCCATCTACATCTACTGGAATTCGAGATTCTTTGGATAGACAAAATGATAGGTAAGACAATTAGTGTTTCAATTATTGTTTATATTATATTTTGTATACAAATAAAGATGTATAATTGTATTTTTTTTATTTATTTGAATTGATAAAATGTATTCAAGTTCATGAATAATATTCTCACAAACTGTAAATTATTCTTCTAGTTTTCAATCCGTATATGGTAGTTTATCTCGAGTGTCATATTCATCACAAGTAAAAAGAAACAGGCCGAATCAATAATTGCTACTCAAGGTTCTCAAACCTTTTTAATTTAAAATCTGGAAATGTTCATAAAGAAAAGAAAAATAAACACCAATGATTCACTGTCTGAAATCAGTTATCAAAGTACCAAAGAAATCGTTCATATCCAGGATCATCTTCATCTTCCGGAAAAAGAAATATATGGCCTATTAACAGTTGTAATGAACTATTATTAATTTCTCAAAAGAAAGAATGTAATATATGCAATATTTATTATGTCATCACAGTAAAAATTAAAACTGTCTATCTAAGCAAACAGGAATAAACCTTATTTATGATTTTATTTTATTTTTTCTAATTAAATAATTTATGTTTAAATATGTGTATTTTATGCCTTAACATAAAAACAAATGAATGATAATCTGTAATATAATAAGACTATTTTTTTTCTTCAAAAAATTTAATTGTTTGTGCTTTCTATTCAAATATACTTAATTCTTATTTACTTTTATAAACTTTCAAAAATAATTATAAAAAAATCAGTGTAAGCCCATATTAATGTTATAAAAGTGTTAGAATTTAAATGTTGTAAACACAAAGCTTGAAAGACCGTTTAAGAATCGTTTTTCATTGTATACAGTATTTCATAATTTAATTCTAATTTTAATAATGGGTGCATACAATGAATATGCCCACAAAACACCAGAGCGATTACTCCTGCTTTAAGTGATTTATGCTGGTAAAATTGTTTAACTACCTCAGAGCTACATACCATAAAAATTCTTGGACTTCCCATGGACCACTCCATTATTTAAATTTTTAACGAATCATAATCGGCTATCAAAAATTATCTCATGATTTATAAGAATATAAAAATATTGAGTCGTAATGCGTATGCCGAAAGCAACGTATTGAATGTGTTGAAAACTGTGCAATATGTATTCCAGCCTCATAGATAACGTGTGAATACGATAATAATAAGTTATAGCAATTACCTTAAGGGGGCTCCAGCGTATCATGTTTTAAGGAATAATATTTAGGCAATTCGTTAGTCTGTACATTTGGGCTATGTCTGTATGAGAAGCAAATGAACACTAGTGTGTGTAATCCGTTATCGCTTTTGTCACAATACCGCCCGCCTATTTCACAAAATACGGATTCCTGGAACTACAATAGTAATAATAATAATAACAATTATAATAATAATTATTATTATAATACCTACTGCCTACCTATTAAAAATTTAAAAAATATAATACAATTAATAAAAATGCTTGACAGCCTTCTCGAAGACCAGATGTTCAGAAGACCATCTGAATCAATGATGGTAATTATTATTAATGGTTTATAAATTGAATTCTAAATGAATGATAAACTAATATAATTTTCTTCAATTCAATGAATCGGATTTCTGAGGCCAGCATATTCAGTATACAATATAGTATATTATACGAATTCTGTCTTGATTGTAAACTGTTCAATCGTTGATTAATTTAATAAATCACGTATAGGAATTGAGAAAATCAACAAATGATATAAATCTCAACTGTCTACAGTTATTCGTTATTGAATTACAACAAAATAACAAAATCGATACATAAAAAATCGAATGATGTTGTAAACATTTGAACTTCAAACACTCATAAAAATTTGATTTGACTTTCTTAAAGACTTTTTTTATTGATAGAGGTAGATAGTTTTATACGGAATCTTTTACTATATTTTAAAATCTTAGACTTCAAAAGAAAAAAATTTAGGGATTTTAAACTCAAAATAATTTGCAAATTATTGTAATTTTTACGCCTTTTGTCAAAATTCGAAGTTTAAATGCTTATAAAAAAAATTGTGATTTTTAATATTTTACAAATGCCATTGTAACAGTATATTAAGAGCCTTGCATTATATTTTAAAGTTTTTTTACCCAACAAATAAAATTATTTAAACATAAATAGAAAAAAAAAACTAAAAAATTGGAAACTGGAAATGTTCCTAAACAATTCAAAACAAATAAAAATATTTTGAAAATATTATCGTGTATAGAAAATGTGAATATAAACAACCAGTGAAAGTTACACCTAAAACCAAAACCGATTTGGTCGAAAAACGATTTTGATTAAAATTCCCGTTTTTCCTTAATTTTTATGTTCCTTTTCCCGGTTCTTAACATTGAGAATTTCACCTCATATTTGCAATAATTGGATTCACTTCCCCATCGAACAAGATACTGTTTAAAAAAATCGATGCAGTTTTACTGCCACAAACGGTGGTGACATACAAGGAAATTAAAAATTTAAAAATTTAAAAAATTTTAATAAAAAACATACATCATTGGAAAATCAATATTTTCATCGCTCCACTCAGAATTAAAAGGTGAGCTTCACAAGTTTTTTTCTCCACAATAATTTTTTACGACTGTCTGAAGTTAGAATTTTTTTTATAAGTAGTTAATATTGTCACCTAAATCTCTAAAAATATATTCACACAGTTCTTTTTGTAGAAATTTTAAATTCAAATTTGAACAAAATTAGATATTATGTACCTAAACAAAAAATAACGTTTTTAGTTATTTTTTTGTAATTTAAAAATATTATTAGTGGGTACCTACATAAAACTTTTAAAGTATAACAAACTAAATGTTTTCTAGAAAATCACATGAGGAAATCGCGTTTTATCGTGTTAGGGGAGGTGTACAAAATTGTACTTTGGTTGAACAAAATTGTTCAAAATAAAGTACATAATACTGGATAATTTTTATATTCAGTTTCAAACTTGGCAGTGCTGACGAGCGGATCACCGCAGCTAGTTCCAAGGTAAATATGCGCATGCGTGCACCTTATCACAATGTTATCACAGAATACAGATATTATCAATTTATCACATATTAAATAGTTATCACTTAGAAGTTAGAATAAAAATATTAAAATTGTATAAAAAAGTATAAAATATTAATAAATTTATGTATAGTAAATAATAAATTAAAGATGTTTAATACATCTATGTCTTATAATATGTATGTAGTATATAAGTATATGTAGTACAAGTTATTGTGGTTTTGAAGAGGCATCATAATAAACATGATCAAAGTCAGTATGTATTGTTTGGCTCGATCGCTCTTCACTATTAATCGTTTCCAGAATAGAGGATTTTTGTACCTCTGTTGGTTTTGTCAATTTGTTAGTTGATGCTTTATGTTTTTTTTTCGTAGAATGAAAACGTTGTGTCGCAATATTTTTGTGGCTTGGCAAGTTAGATACTTTTGGGAAAAATGAACCGGAATTGATTGGATTTGTTTGACCTGTTGTAAAATTTGCACGAGGTCTTCAAGTTTTTTAATGCCTTTTAGTTTGGCTTCATCTGTTGCAGTATTCGCCACTCCTACTGCTGCATTAAGTAGAGCTGTAAAGCGAGTTGATATTGAAACAGATTCATTTGGATGTACCGAATTTATTTGAACTCCTTCAACAACATTACGATTATGCTCATCAAAGGCTGATGTTTCTCGGTCTTCGTCAATAGAAATTTCAAATTTTTTATTGGACACTCGAATGCATGCATGTACATGTTTACAAAAGTTTCCTTTGATTTTGTAATCAATACATATGCATGTAAATTGATGGACACACACATGACAATTAGGACATGCCAAAGGACATCCTATACAATTTTCTGTGTTATTAATTGTAACAGAGTATGGACTTTTATCTGATGTCGCTGATTGTACGAGCCACGTGTGTGTGTTAATATTTGTTATTTTGTTGTCTTCAATATGTACGCTTTGGTGATGACTGTGTGCAATTTGTTCCATCCGATATGTAGGTTTATTTTTCATCATTCGTATTGTCCTTTCAAACATCATATCCCTAGCGAAGATACATGAAAATCGAATTTGGGGTGAGTAGTTTATGAGTTATAAATATTCAAAGTTTAGATGAGCGGAGAAGTGGACAAACGTTTCGCGGGGTAACCCCGTACCACTCCACTTCTCCGCTCATCTAAACTTTGAATATTTATAACTCATAAACTACTCACCCCAAATTCGATTTTCATGTATCAAAATACTTAGAAAAATATTCTGCTTTGGAATATAAAATTAAAACCCTATGTTGTCATTTAAAAAATTAAAAAACTTAAAAAATTATAAGGATAAAAAATATTTAAAAACCTAATTTTTTAATAAAAATGTTCTTTTATAAGCAACTTGAAACTATGTAAAAAATATTTTCAAAAAAACTTACACTTTTTGAAATAATGAGTGTTCAATGATAAAAGAATCACCCGGTATATATACAGACTGCACAACTGCACTAGGAACTATATTATGGGATGATATTATATTTGTAATATTTGTGTAATGAATAACTTAATAATATTATATTATATCTTTCAAATATAAAAGTATTGGACTATCCATAAAATAAATTGAACTTTAATCTTTAATGTTCTAGTTATTTGATATTAGCTACTCATAGCTGGAAATTTTGTTATAATTTAATATTTTATAAATAGAATTCTGTACATTCTGTGTTTAGTTTTTTTTAAATTATGTCATATGAATATAATACATTAAACTGGATTTTTTGTAATGATATTCACATTATTATACAGTTCTGTAATATAAATATTCATATATATTTGTAATTAATATTACAAGATGTACATTGATAATTATCTTGACACATCTTGGACCTATATACCTTTTCTAATAAACAACTAGTGCCAAAGGCACAATAAATCCAGATGACCATCAATAATTTTCCTATAAGTACAATAAGCTTTCAATACCTTCGTTTTACTTATTAAATATTAAGTAAAGAGTTAAGTTAAGAGTAACAGATTTATTATGTTTTATTTGTATTATATCCTGTAAACATTATTAAAATAATAATAATAATAAATAAATATAATATTGTAATATTTCTGGACCCCACCAGGGTAAACGCTATATCCACTCTTATCCGTTTTTAATAATTGATAAGATATGAAGTTGATAGGAGATTTTGGTGCGCGCATGTGCGTGCGGAGCGTGGAACTAGCTGCGGTGATCCGCTCGTCAGTGCTGTGGTAACGAACCTTGGAGAAATATTATTATTATTAGTAAGTTATTCTAATTAACCGTGGTTTCGATTTAGAACTGCATAATTCAGGGGCGCCATTTCAGTTTTGAAATGGGGCTGCCACATTTTTCCACCACTAGACCACAGTTATGACAATGAAAATTGAAATATTGTAGTTAATTCTAACATAAGGTACTAGGGATGAAAATCAAATCTTCAAAAAGCCTATAGGTAGTAATAAAAATAGAACCCTATGCTCCTACTAGAACTTTTACTTCTTTTAATTTAAATTAATAATCAGCAAGCTACTTTTTTTGTATTCGATATGTCGTTATGTAATCTAGATTACACTGTCATTTATAACCCTAATTCAGACATTTAACAATAGCACCTTAACTTAAGGTGATAGGTAACACTGATAATAGTTTAATATCGCATTATAAATATAATAATATTTTTATATTACATTACTTAATTAATTCAATTGAACTGATACACCGGCGCCAGTATAAAATTGATGCAGGCCAAGTACGGGGAAAAATAATGCCACCAATGTATACCCTGCTTCCTGCGATACCCCAAATGGCGCCCCTGGCATTAATAACGTTTTTTTACTCCAAGTCTAAGAAATTTCGGTTTCCATAAGACACTTTGTAGTTTGTACTTTGTAGCAATAGCTACGCAGTAATAAATCATATTTAAAATTAAAGAATAAATAAATGTACGGCCTTAAAGTATATTATGACTATAGCAATACATATTATGCGAGTGTAAAGGTTAAAATATATTTTATTATCTTGTACATGTACAGTATAGGATTTCGATGCACAGTAAGTGTACAAGATAATATAATATATTTTAACTTTTCCACTCGCATAATATGTATATTGCTATAATCATAATATACTTTAAGGCCCTGTAATATCGCTTTATTGTTATCTCGTACTGGTCGGTTGGTCCAATTTAATATAACGACGCTCTTTTATCGTTAGAATAATACTCTCCGTCTCTCCACGAACAGTATATTATATTTTACCTTACATTGTGTTTACGTCAAAGTAGGTACCTACTGCGCCTATCCGATCATCGATCCACAAGAGCCTGACTGTCAAATCCGCACAGGCTGACTATAATTGTGTCGATGATAACGATAATACTTGTGTCACAATAATATATTAAAATAACATTTATACCTATATACACTAATATGACAATACATTTAACATTTAAAGAAATTGAAATTGTAATTAAAAGCAAAGAATACTTTTATACCATAATAACGCACCTATTAGTTGTTGAAGCAAATTTATCAATAATAATAAAAAAAATCCGATAACAGCTAAAAACGTTGCAAAACATTTTTTAAATTTTATCAATCATAGAAACTAATAAAATAAACATTTGGTGTAAATTTAATGTAGGTAGGGTTATTCATTTTTGGACGAAAATTATGAAAATCGTTCCATGAGAAATCGAATGAATACAGCTGGTACAATTAGTAACAATTTGACCTTCATACGCTCATTAATAATTAATTTGACGTTCCAGTAAGTGTTTTTAGATTCTGAGTGGAACGATGAATGTATTGATTTTACAATGATGTATGTTTTTTTTTTTATTTTTTTGTCTGTCAACTCTGTCATCACCTTAAGGACAGTAAAAGTGCTTGGATTTTCTTCAACAGTAGCTTTTCTGAAAGGAAAGTGAATATAGTTGGTACTTTGGAGGGTCAAAAGTAAAAATTTCTAAGTAGTTTTCAAAAGCTTTATTAAAACCAAAAGAAAAATTAAGGAAAAACGGGAATTTTTACTCAAAATCTGTTTTCGAGAAAATCGATTTTGGTTTTTGGTGTAACTTTAAAACAATTGACCGTAGATACATGACATTTTCACTGGTTGTTTATATTGGCATATTCTATACACGATTAAATTTTTAAAATATTTTGATTTATTTTGAACAGTTTAGGGACATTTTCAGTTTCCAATTTTATTAGTTTTTTTTTTTATGAATATCAATAAACATTTATTAGTTGAGTAAAAATACTTGAAAATTTAATACAAGGCTCCTACTATATTGTTTCAAAGGCAGATTAAAAATATTAAAAATCCTAAGTCACAGTTTTTTTTATAAGCATTTAAAGTTCAAAAATTGACGAAATATGGAAAAATCACGAAAATTATCAAATTATTTTGAGTTAAGAATTCATAAAAATTTTTCTTTTTAAATCTAAGGTCTTAAAATTTAATACAAGATTCCTTACAAGATTATTTACCTTTATCAAAAAAAAAATGTCCATAAGAAAGTTAAATTAAATTTTTATGGGCTTTTGAAATTCAAATTTTTACAACATTGGATATACACTCGATTTCTCATGTAGTGGTTTTCTTATTTAGTTTTAATTCAAAAATGAATACTTGTAGATGCATGAAAATTTCACTGAACGTTTATTTTATCAATTCTTTTACTTGATAAAATTTTCAAAATATTTCGACTTGTTTTGAGCTGTTTACGGATAATTTCATATTTCAATTTTTTTATTTTTTTTTCTATGAATATCAATAAAGTTTTATTTGTTATTTAAAAAGCTGTGGAAATTTAATGCAAGGCTCCAGATATATTGTTACAAGAGCAGTTGAAAATATTAAAAATACATGGCACAATTATTTTTTATAAGCATTTAATGATCGAGTTTTGAAAAAATTTATCAAATTTAAAATTGAATAATTATTGTGTAGTTAAAAATTTATAAAATGTTCAACTTTTATATCCAAGAATTGAAAATGTAAAACAAGATTCCACGTAAGTAGTTAATCCTGTTACCAAAAAACCTAAAAAATAAATAATCACATTTTATTTTTATAGTCATTTTAAGTTCAAATTTGGACGAAATTACATATAAAAAAATTAGAATAACTATTTTAGTTATTTTGTTGTGATTGTATAATATTATTTGTGGGTACTTGAAACTTCTTAAGTATCTTATTATATATCTTTGATAGTAACAGTGTTTGTTGTTTATGTATAACGCGTTATAAGTACCTAATGGATATTGTGATATGATTAATTTGGAATTTATTATAGGTACCTACTAAAGACCTGCAAGGGCCGGGCCGGCCCGATCCGGTCCTTAAAAAACCCTGCCCGTAGTGACATTGGACCGGGCCGGGCCTTTGAAATAAAATAAAGGGTTGGACCGGGATTTTTAAGTCTTAGAATTTTATTCCGGGCCGGGCCTGGGTTTTTTTTGTACAATTTTTCGGGCCGGGCCGGGCTGAACTTCAAATAATAAATCCAAGGGTTGGACCGGGCTTTTTTAAACCTTGGACTTTTATTCCGGGCCGGGCCTGGGTTTTTTTTTTGTACAATTTTTCGGGCCGGGCCGGGCTGGACTTCGAATAATAAATGAAGGGTTGGACCGGGCTTTTTAAGGATTTTTCTTCGACAATAAATAATCACAATTTAAAATAATAAATAATAATGATAAAACCGACTTTGGTACAGAAAAGATAGATACTAGATAGTAGATACTAGATACCTGTTATATGTACCTAGCTAGTTTTTATCAAGCTACAGGTAAATGTAATAGGTATTAGGTAGTAGGTACATAAACCGATTAACCCCAGTTATCATAAGACATTGTCATGTAAAGATTGTTGTAAAAAACCACATTTTCAAACCAGTCCTACAAAAAAAAACCAGCCTTAAAAAAAATGTCGGGCCGGGCCGGGTTTTTTTTTTATAATATTTTGTGGACCGGGCCTGGCCGGGCTTGAGGATAAAGTTGATGGACCGGGCCGGG